GTAACTGTAGTGATGTCTTATTGTGGTTGAAATCTACATTATTTTCCTGATGGCTAATGATGTCAGAGACCTTTTCATGCGCTTATTTGCCATCTGTACATCTTCTGTGGAAATGTCTGTTCACTTTTTAAAATCCATTTTCTAGCCTTATTATTTGATTTTTTAATTGTTGAGTTTTGACTGTTCTTTTTTTTTTTTTTTTAATGGTGAAAAGATATACATATATTTAGAATTAGCCAGCTGGACTCAGTTTAGATGATCCCAATTTTGTTGGCAACATCCAAAGCATCGTAATCAGGAGCCAGTCGAACATCTGCCTTCTTCTCTCCATCAGGCCGAATCAGGGTGTTGACCTTGGCCACATCAATGTCATAGAGCTTCTTCACAGCCTGTTTGATCTGGTGCTTGTTGGCTTTAACATCCACAATGAACACAAGTGTGTTGCTGTCTTCTATCTTCTTCATGGCAGACTCAGTGGTCAGCGGAAACTTGATGATAGCATAGTGGTCCAGTTTGTTTCTCCTGGGGACGCTCTTCCGAGGATATTTGGGCTGCCTCCGGAGTCGCAGTGTCTTGGGCCGCCGGAGGGTGGGTGACGTGCGGATCTTCTTTTTTTTGTGGCTGTGGACACCTTTCAACACTGCCTTCTTGGCCTTTATTTTATTTATTTATTTATTTATTTTTTGAGACGGAGTTTCACTCTTGTTACCCAGGCTGGAGTGCAATGGCGCGATCTCGGCTCACCGCAACCTCCGCCTCCTGGGTTCAGGCAATTCTCCTGCCTCAGCCTCCTGAGTAGCTGGGATTACAGGCACGCACCACTATGCCCAGCTAATTTTTTGTAGTTTTAGTAGAGACGGGGTTTCACCATGTTGACCAGGATGGTCTCGATCTCTTGACCTCGGCCTCCCAAAGTGCTGGGATTACAGGCTTGAGCCACCGCGCCCGGCCTTTCTTGGCCTTTAAAGCCTTCGCTTTGGCTTCGGCTTTAGGAGGGGCAGGAGCTTCCTTCTTCGCTTTCAGCGCCATCTTGTGAAAAGGGCTTGACTGTTCTTTATATATTCCACATATTAGTTCTTTGCTGGATTTGTGATTTGTGGATATTTCCTGTTGCTTGTCTTTTCATCTTCTTTTTGAAACAGAGTCTTGCCCTGCTGCCCAGGCTGGAGTGCAGTGGCACCATCTCGGCTCACTACAACCTCTGCCTCCCGGGTTCAAGCAATTTTCTGCCTCAGCCTCCTGAGTAACTGGGATTATAGGCACCCACCACCACTCCTGGCTAATTTTTGTATTTTTAGTAAAGACAGGCTTTCACCATTTTGGCCAGGCTGGGCTTGAATTCCTGACCTCCTGATCCACCCGCTTCAGGCTGCCAGTGCTGGGATTACAAGTGTGAGCCAACATGCCCAGCTGTCTTTTCATCTTCTCAACAGGCCCTTTTGGAGAGAAAAGTTTTAATTTTGAGAGATCCAATATATCAATATCTCCTTTTATAGGTTGTACTCTTGGCATCAAGTCAAAGAACTCTTTGCCTAGCTCTACATCCTAAAAATTTTCCCTTATTTTTTCTAAAAGTTTAATAGCTTTACATTTACACTTAAGTCCATGGTCACATATTTTTAAGTAGGTGTTTAGATCCTGCTTGGCATGTCTGATGTCTGAAGTAAGCCTTAGCATGTAGAGCTCTTTCTGTCCTCATTTTTTCCCTCAAGCATCTACTGAGTGCCAACTATGGCTCAAGTCACTGATACCAAATCGTGCATACAATTCCTCATTAGGCACATGTTTCAGACTTTACAATGAGTCAGTTAAGTGACATACTTCAGGACGTGGGCTTTGGAGCCCAACTAGCTTTCTCAAACCTGGTGCCACCTCTCAGCAGCTTTGTGATCTTTAGCAAGTTACTTAATACCTTTGAAACTCAATGTTTCACATTATTCACATCTGGATGAAAATAACACCTACCTCACAGGATTGTTGTGGGAGATAAATGAAATATTATATGTAAAATGCTTAGCACAGTGCCTAGCATATACGTAGAAAACATTCAACAATTTGGCTGGACAAGGTGATTAACACCTGTAATCGCAGCACTCTGGGAGGCTGAGGTGGGCGGATCACGAGGTCAGGAGTTCGAGACCAGCCTGGCCAACATGGTGACTCCTCATCTATACTAAAGATACAAAAAAAGTAGCCGTCCATGGTAGCGCGCGCACCTGTAATCCCAACTATGCAGGAGGCTGAGGCAGGAGAATTGCTTGAACCCAGGAGGCGGAGGTTGCAGTGAGCTGAGACAGCGCCATTACACTCCAGCCTAGATGACAGAGAGATACTGCATCTCAAAAAAAAAAAGTTCAATAATTTTTAGTCCTCCTCCTTCCCATCCCACCATGCAAAGATTTTCTAGATACCTTCCCCACCTCATCATCTGCTTCCCCAGAGTCTTCACTTCTTTCTCTCTACCTCTGGTCTTAATTATTCTACTTCTTTTGTTAAACGTTCTCAACAGACTTTGGCATTTGATAGAATTTCCTATCTCCAATTTGTTTGTGGTATTCTTATATGTGTCAAACTATTGTTTCCTGTATGTGTTATGTATCTTACCAACGATGTATCTCCTCAAAAATATGGTATAAGCCTAGTTTCCCACAGAGTCCAGTTCCATGTTGGGCCAGTGGCCCGTAATACACTGATAGTGGAGGATCTAAATTAAAACATGTTTGTAGACAGGAATTTGGCAAACTGAATCAAAAATATTAAATGCTTTGACCTAGTAATTTACCTTTTTCAGAATCCATCCTAAGAATGGTCATATACAGGTTGAGCATGGTGGATCACACCTGTAATCCCAGCACTTTGGGAGGCTGAGGTGGGCAGATCACCTGAGGTCAGGAATTCGAGACCAGCCTGGCTAATATGGTGAAACCCTGTCTCTACTAAAAATACAAAAATTAGCCAGGCATGGTGGTCCAGGCCTGTAGTCCCAGCTGCTCAAGAGGCCAAGGCAAGAGAATCGCTTAAACACAGGAGGTAGAGGTTGCAGTGAGACGAGATCACGCCACTGCACTCCAGCCTGGGCGACAGAGGGAGATTCCATCTCAAAATAAATCAATAAAATTATATATATGAATTTTTCTTACAGCACTATTTGTAAAAGTAAAAATTAAGAAAAATGTAAATATGTACTAATTTTTAAAAATCAGGAAGCACAGGCCGAGTGCAGTGGCTCACGCCTGTAATCCCAGCACTTTGGGAGTCTGAGGTGGGCTAATCATTGAGACCAGTCTGACCAACATGGTGAAACCCACTCTACTAAAAATACAAAAATTAGCTAGGTGTGGTGGCAGATGCCTGTAATCCCAACTACTTTGGAAGCAGAGGCAGGAGGATTGCTTGAACTTGAGAGGCGGAGGTTGCAGTGAGCCACGATCATGCCATTGCACTCTAGCCTGGGTGACAGAGCGAGGCTCTGTCTCAAAAGAAAAAATCAGGAATCATAGCAAATTCCATTTATAGATGGAATGTTATACCATCAATTCTGTTTTCAATACAATTCTTCTTCCTGGGTTCTATAGCTATAAGTGCTGGGTGAGGTGTCAGAGCCCTGATATTAAGAAGTGGTGGACTAGTGGGTTGGTAAAAAGAATTTACCGACAACAGTACAGGTTTGAAAAAGAAAAGTCTTTTAGAAAGAAAACACTGCAGAAGAGTGCAGCTGGATGCCTAAGCAAGAGGACTAAATGCAGTGGTGGATTTTTCCTTAGGAGCATTTATGGGTAATTTGGACCACATTAGCCATGTAGGCCATGATGGATTATTACATTTGTAGACGTTTTGGTGCCTTAATGTCAGCAAGGCTTACACAATGAGTTTTGGCATGGCAACCTGGAGATGTATAGAAATTCTAGTTACTTATAAATTTTTTGAGGAAAAGAAATCTGGAACCAGATGCCTGCTTTAGAAAATAGGGAAGTCGATTACTTCTAATTTTCCCCAGAGAAGGAGTTTTGCCTTTGCTTGGCCTGTTTGATGGTCACCAGGTGATCTTTGCTCCCTTCTAAATTCCTCAGATAAGCCGTTTTTATCTCCCCGGCCTGTTCAATGGTCACCAGGTGATTTTGCTCTCCTAAATAAAGATATTCAATAAAACACTCTTTTCTTGTTTTTTGAGACAGAGTCTCACTCAGTCGCCCAGGCTGGACTTCAGTGGCTCAATCTCTGCTCACTGCAACTTCTGCCTCGCAGGCTCAAGCCATTCTTTTTTTTTTTTTTTT